TTCTCTGCAGTGAAAGAGTCAAAAGATGAGATCAGACAATTTCCATTTGTCCTTGTACTTTTACATGCGTTTTGCATGTGTTTTCATTATGAAATAATGTTTGCACATGACCTACGTATAAGTTTAAAGCTACACTGTGTAACTCTTTTAGTTTATTCTCAGCTAAAAACACTTAGTTCTTTCAAAAATATATGTGCTCATTAATGTATATTTACTTCGTTCAAGTAATAAAGTATTCTCGTGAGTGTTAATATGCCATTGAAAATACATATGGGTTCTAATGTCGGTCGCCATGTTGCTCCTCCATCTTGAAAGTACATTAGCCAAAGAGAGACATACCTACCCTATCTCACGACCAATTCAGATTCAGATTCAGTGATTCAGAAGTGGCTAATTCGTATTAATTCATACGACCTCACTCGTACGAATTTATACGATTTGTCTAAACCCACGTGACGGTTATGTTTAGGGGCGGGGTCAGGGGTAGGTCATTCGTACGAATTCATACGAATTGGCTACTTCGTAAAATATGTACGATTTAGCAAAATCGTACTAATTCGTACAAGTGAGGTCGTACGAATTGTTACGAATTAGCCACCTCGTAAAATTCGTACGAATTCCTGTAAGATCAGGTTGGACATACCCGTTAATTCAAGCTTCGTCTTTCGCGTTTACGTTTTGCGTTTTTATGAGTTAACACTCATGGACGAGGTCGAACTGGAAGCCATGTTAATCTTGGACTACATTGGCCACCGTAGGAGGTAAAACAAAATCGGAATTGAGAGGAACAGAAACTAATATTCACTGGATGGTCATATACCTTTTCACCACTAGATGGGGGTAAAAATCACACAGTTTCGCTTTAAGCACCTTCAAAGTTGCTTGGACATTAAGTGAACTGTATGAACCAAGTATATATTATTTCTATTGCATTTAATGTGCTGTGTTGTAGTGGATTAGTTGGTTTCAGTTCAGCTTTCAGCTATCACCACTGTGACTCTGAATAAGACATTAAAGGGTTAGTTCACCCAAAAATGAAAATTCTGTCATCCAATGGCTCACCTTCATCTCGTTCCAAACCTTTAAGACTTTCTTTCATCTTCGGTATAACGATATAAAATAACGATCTTTTTAATGAAATCTCAGAGCTTTCTGTCCTTCTGTTGACAGCCTATACAACAAGTCAGTGGGTCACTTTAAGTTTTTTATATGAAGAGAAACAACATAAACAAACAAAAATTTCCTTTCATTTTCAATTTCCTTAAACAATCAGACCCCTGGAGCCACTAAAGGGACATGGTGATGAAAAAAAAAATGAAATGGGATTTTTCTAATCTAATTATGATAAAACTTTTTGAACAACGGGGCACAACATTATCATGTAATAATTTGAACAACATTATCATGTAATAATTTATTTTACATGATTTTAACAGTCGCATTCCATTATGTGCATGTCCTATCTTTTAAAATATGGTTTCCCATTATTGCCACAACTGCTGTTATATTTCTTTCTTTCTTTCTTTTTTTCTTTCTTTTTTTCTTTCTTTCTTTCTTTCTTTCTTTCTTTCTTTCTTTCTTTCTTTCTTTCTTTCTTTCTTTCTTTCTTTCTTTCTTTCTTTCTTTCTCTTTCTCTCTCTGTCTCTCTCTCCCTTTCCTTTTTCCTTTGTTTGTTTATATTTCAGTAGAGCTAATGTTTTAAATTCTGTGACCTAGTAATTAAATTGCTGTATAAAGGCACCTGACATCATAATACATATCTTTCTGAGCTCACAGTGTGAGAAAAGTCATTAGTGTTCTGCATTTGTGAAATTTGACTAAGTCAATATTTGCATAGATTGTTACCTTGGGAAATCAACATTTATATTTACCAAGCCTGCCTTACGACTGCATTTCCTGACTAGCTTTCTTCAGGAAAGATGATTGTCTGGGTTGCTCTTTTCCTCTCAGCTCATTTTGAGCTGACTTCAACATTGATCAGGAAACACATTTTTATTGATAATGCTGTGTCTTGGAGTGATGCTCAAAATTTTTGCCGAGAGAATTATGCCGACCTATCCACCATAGGCAGCACAGAGGAACTTACCAGGTTCAGAAACGATGCACAAGACCAAGGGCAATTGAACAGAGAGAGCTGGGTTGGTCTGAGCAAGCCCTCCGCTAACGGTGAATGGGTGTGGAGTGATGGAAGTAAAGAAACTTTTAAGAAATGGAAAAGTGGTCAACCAAATGACGAAGACACTGACTTTTGTATCAAGATTTCAGCTGGTGAATTGATGGACTACAGATGTGATGAAAATAGGCCTTTTTTCTGTTACAAGTGGGTGCCTGAACTGATTCTAGTAACGGAAAACAAGAGCTGGGAGGAAGCATTAGAACACTGCAGAACTGAACACTCTGACTTAGCCTGTCTGCCAACCAGTTTACATCTCTTTCAAGCCCAAAACAAGAATGCAGTCAGCCAAACTCTCAGTGTGTGGACAGGTTTGCGCTTCTTGTCAGGTTCCTGGTTCTGGGTGAGTGGGGAATCTCTGGGAGATATGGTTCAGCTGCCAGTATGCCCTGCCAATCCCCAATACTGTGGATCTCGAAACCTGAAAGATGAAAGTTGGGAGAACAGAGACTGTACGGAGAAACTTAACTTTGTGTGTTATTAAAGAGAAGGGTAAGAACCAAAGCATGTATTTGTGTTTCAATCAATACATTGCTCATATTCATGACGGCAATTTTTTCATTGTCTATTTGTTTAATCCATAACAAATATTGAAAAGAAAATTAAAATGTATATTTGAAGACACACACACATTTATGCTTGGCAGACCTATTACATATTAAGTTAACATTATTACATGTTTCTTTATTTATATAATGCAGCAAAATATATATTGAAATAATGTAGTATTTCGTGTGTGTTTTTTTTCAGAGGCGATGGGAAGAGAACCAGATAAAAACAAATGAAGAAATTATAAATAAAAATTAGCCCTTTATTTAACTTAAAAATAACTTGAAATAAGATAATGTCTAAGCTTATACTCCTTTTTTGCATTCTGTACGTCTTATGCTATACTTTTTGTTTAAATTGAAAAACACCTGATGATACATCACTTTTAAACATACATTTGTTTTCAAACTATACATTTATTAAGTTTATATTTGTTATAGATTTGCTGTACTTTTAAAAGCTATGCTTTCAGTCGTGAGTTTAGAAAAGAATATACTAGTTGAGTATCTAAAACTTGAAGATCATTGCATCAATTGTTTTGAAAAAAAATATACTTAATAAATAGAAGCACTGAAAAATAAATTGTAATAAAGTTTTCCTTTTAACTGTGCACACCTTATGCACAAGAAGCCAAAGCTAATTTTAAACCAGCAGCCATATCACCCTGTAGCCCAAGACTGGTTGCCCATTAAAGCTAAGCAGGGCTGAGCCTGGTTAGTACCTGGATGGGAGACCTTCTGAGAAAGCCAGGTTGCTGCTGGTAGAGGTGTTAGTGTGGCCAGCAGGGGGTGCTCACCCTGTGGTCTGTGTGGGTCCTAACGCCCCAGCAAAGTGATGGGAACACTATGCTGTCAAAAAAGAGCACCGTCCTTCGGATGAGACGTTAAACCGAGGTCCTGACTCTCTGTGGTCATAAAAAATCCCAGGATGTCTTTCGTAAGAGTAGGGGTGTAACCCCGGCATCCTGGCCAAATTTGCCCAGTAGCCTCTGTCCATCATGGCCTCCTAATCATCCCCATATACACCAATTGGCTTCATCACTGTCTCCTCTCCACCAGAAAGCTGGTGTGTGGTGAGCGTTCTGGCGCAATATGGCTGCCGTCGCATCATCCAGGTGGATGCTGCACATTGGTGGTGGTTGAGGAGAACCCCCCCTTCTATGTGAAGCGCTTTGAGTGTCCAGAAAAGCGCTATATAAATGTAACGAATTATTATTATTCATGCTGTGACATTTTGATTAGGCTACTGCTATAGATTCCTCATGCAGAGTTTACATTAAAGGGTTAGTTCACCCAAAAATGAAAATTCTGTCAGTATTTACTCACCCTCATGTTGTTCCAACCCCGTAAGACCTTCGTTCATCTTCGGAACACAAATTAAGATATTTAGGATATTAAAATCGCTCCTGCATACAGTCCATAGGCTTCTTGAGGGACTGGCTCTTGCTGTCCTCGAAAAGTAATTGAAGACATCGTTAAAATAGTCCAAGTGACTACAGGGGCTCAATCTTAAGTTTATCAAACGACGAGAACACTTTTGTGCGCAAAAAAACAACAAAAATAACGACTTTATTTCAACTATTCACTTCCTTCTCCATAAGCCTATAGTCCGTTAGCGTAGTGTGATTGCGTAGAGCTACGTCACACGTAGGCTCACTATTGGTCGACGCTGGTCATGTGTGTGTGATGCGTGTGACGTACAATAACAGAAGCTTACGCTATTAAACTAGTTAGCTGACTCGCGCAGAGGGAGAAATAAACGAATAGTTGAAATAAAGTCGTTATTTTTGTTGTTTTTTGCGCACAAAAGTGTTCTCGTCGTTTGATAAACTTAAGATTGAGCCCCTGTAGTCACTTGGACTATTTTAACGATGTCTTTTATGACTTTTCGGGGACGGCAAGAGCCAGTCCCTCAAGAAGCCTATGGACTAGTATGCAGGAGCGATTTTAATATCTTAAATATCTTAATTCGTTTTCCGAAGATGAACGAAGGTCTTACGGGGTTGGAACAACATGAGGGTGAGTAAATACTGACAGAATTTTCATTTTTGGGTGAACTAACCCTTTAATACACTAATAAAAGTCATTTTGACAAAAATGTTAACAAACAATTTTCTTGACATGCTCAAAAAGTTTTTCCGGATTGCCTGTTTATTTTGTCAATTGGTTTTTAGAGGAACTGTATGCAATAGATAAAAATCACATTTTAGATGGCATTTTTAAATGTTTAATATGCAATCTAATGTATAAAAAACAAAAACAAACACTTAATGTATATGTTTTTTCAGTGATTTATTTAATTGACCCAGATCAACATATATTACAGTACGTTCCAATGGACATTGTTATCCTTCTGCCGGCAGAAATCAAAAGAATATATTTGTTGAATATTTTACATTTGTGTCATGTGCTAATCTTAATGGTATTTGATCCTTTTGTTCCCTTTCGAGGGAACTCACGCTGCATCGATGACGCTTTGGGAACGCCCCTGTGTGATTGCATCAGAAGCACGTACAGTATGTCAACTAGTCCAATGGCAAGAGGAAAAGGAAAGGATAAAAGCACATGCGGTCTGACCGGCGATAGCTTCTGTGCCTCGGCAATCGCTCTATGTCGAAACTGTCTGTCTATTTATTGTTGTCTGTCACAAGCATTTAAAACAAAATTATGGCGAAAGAGTTGTGTGCTTCTCTCATGGCTCCCATAACTCAACTCGACGCTGTGTCAAACTCGCACCCTTTGAGGACGGGGGTTAAAAAAAGTCAGTTCGCTGCCAGTATGCTTCCAACAAAGTGGCTGTTCCAGAATGGAAGAATCTGCAAGGATTTCAAGGAGTTCTGGAGATAGTCCACCGGGTAGCCATATATCTCTATACAGAGCACGAGGTCTTTAGAGAGATACATTTTAGTGTTAGAAACCAAACCAGCGAATCGAGGAAAAAGCCATTCTCTTTCTCCCGACATCAGCCAGGTTTAACCACAAATGTCTCTCTGTGGCCACTATCGTCGCTATTGACAGGCAGATTGTCGCAGCAGTCTGGTTGGTGGCCTGGAGAGCTTTTTTTTATTTGCATCGCAGCTCAGTCACCGCAGCAGGGGCTCCAACTCTTGGTCAAGATCCTTCAGCAGATCGGCCTGGTATACCTGCAACACCGCCATGATGTGCAGTGTAGCACCGGCCTGACCCGCTGACGTTAATGCTCTGCCATTCAACTGGCAAAGCTCTGTGTCGATTGTCCCATCGACGCATACCCACGCTCTTCTATCCCCTCAATATCAGCGAGACTAGCATGCTGATGTTGGTGGATACAGGCAGAGTATGGGTTCTTTCATGTCCTCTCGATCTCTCGATCTCAGTGCTGCCTGACTAAGTTTTCCTCTTTTTTTTAAACTTCATCATCAAATTGCAGATTACCCTCGTAAGCTGTCTGAGAGGACTACACCCCTCTGAATGAGATCGGCGGGCTTCATCTGGGAATCTGACATCCAGACGCTGAACCCTCTTCTCTTGAGAAGTGGGACAGGCGAGAGTGGAGCAGTCACAGAAAAAATGCTAACAATTTGTACAGACAGTTCCCTCAAAAACTGCCTGTGGGCGCTCTTCCTTCCCAGACAGAAAAACGCAGTTTGTGTGTGTCACCTAGCTTCAGATATCTTGAGCACGGGTCTGCAAGCTATTGAAAGCATTTCATAATTACCTGATTTTCAAAGCGGTTACAGACAAAACAGTCACAGAAGACGAAAAAGATATTGTCATATTTGCAAGGCGCCCTTTTATACTTCCAGGTGATTACAAACACCTGTCACGCCTGAGGCGTTCCCCAAAGCGTCATTCGATGCAGTGCAAGTTTCAGTGCGAGAACAGTCATATATGTTTTTGATAATATACTCATAAGATGTTTCCTGGTCCCAAGCACAGTTTCAAGAAAGAAAAAGAAAAAATTAAACTGAAATTACAGAGATTGTTCAAAAGCTCAATTTTATTTTACAAATAAACAACAATCATTTTGTTAGACTACACGTTTGATTGTTTTACTGCCAAATACTTGAATGCAAGTGTAATTCACACTTTATGTTATGCAACCTTGTTATAATTGCAAGTTTAATGCTGCTGCTTGATGCTTTATCATAACATTTCTCTTAAGGTAAATGCACACTATAGGAATACAAACTCTGAATGAGACGAAATGAATGTTGCCTGAAAATAATTCAAATTACACAACTTTATAACAAGGGATAACTTCTACAACACATACTGTAAATGATAATGAAGGGGGGGGGGAATCTAAACTATGTCAACCAGTGACTTCAGTCTAAAGCTTCTTTGGCCTAACAAACACTTGCAATAAAACATAAAATCACATTACATTAACAGATGGAATCAATTAGTGTAAAATGTTTACAATATTGTTAACCAAACAACTGAATGATGATTTTCTGCTAATTGGACTCTGGAAAATATCAGTAGTGCTGTAAAGAAAGGAACAATTCAATACTTCACAATCAAACCAGTGTGTTTTTTCCCTGTCAAACAAAGGTATTGATTTAATACTAGCGTAGAAAAGTGGTAGCCTGATTTAGTTTAAACGTGTATAGTTCACTGGCTGGGTGGACCAGCCATTCCCATGATGCCATGAGGTATTCAGGCATCTATACCCGTGCTGACAAGCAGTTCATAGGCAGGGTCATGACCTCTGCGGCAGAGGACCACACATGCACACAGCAGCCCAAGCATCTGTGCAGAGAACAGGAAACTACGGTCAAGACATACATTTACATTGAGGATGTTGACAAAAAAAGATTATACGAATATATTTCAAATATTCTGTATTATCTGTAAACATCAAGGCAGTATAGTTCATAAAAGGATGCATTTATGTTCAGCAATGTTTTGATCAAAGAACTATGACCCAAAAGGACCTCAAAGGACGTCTTGTTGCTAGGCCGATTGTTTTGTACATTTTATTTCACTTTGCTTACTATAATACTCAGGTAAGATTATTAAAAAATTTGGAATCAATCTTTCCTATCCACGTATTTATTTATTTGTAACCTCCTTAGCCATGTTACTTTTAACCATGTGGTGTTTCCATTATTTCCACTTACTAATATGGTACTGCAATGGTTGGCCTCAACTGCAAATTACCTGTATGGCAGCGAATGTTAATGCAGCCAGTATGACGTACAGCATAATGTCCTTAAGTTTCTTTACTACAAGAACTTCACAGCCCTGTAACAAGAAGTTTAGCTATAATAAATTAGTCATTTAATAGTTTTGAACTTCTGGAGAATGTCTGTGAGGGTGTTACCTCTGGGTAAAGGTCTCCTGGTCGCATTAACGTCCCCGTGCAATTACTGATGGTGGGTTTGCAGCAGCTCACTGGAACACTATTGTTTTTGGACTCAATAAACCAGTGAGTGTTCATCCAATCCGAATAGTTATGAATGCCACAACAGTGGAGCTGAAAGTGAACGATTGTAAGAAGAGAGCTTTAGAGAGAATTGGTGAAAGAAATATGAAAAAAGAAAGGCAAAGGAACTGATAGTGTTACTTGTCGCTGCACATAGTCAATGGCCCTGCTTGGAGCGTCTGTGTTGGTGCCTTTATATTCATTATATACTTTCTGAATAGAGTGATTCACCACAGCCTCAACCTTTTGGAGAAGAAGAAAATATTTTTAGTGTTTTAAAAATGACACTGCCAAACTATCCACGTGCGCATGTCATTTTTTTTTATTTCCAAGTTACCTTGGCTCTGTAAATATAGCCTAGCACCACTACAACCACCTCTGTAGCGAAGACCAGTAGCAGCACTGCTGAGAACTGCAGAAAAATCAAGAACAATCAGTATAGATTCCGAATAAAAAGCTGCTCTATATATGTTGAAGCGAGGGGTGTAAGACTCTAGTTTACCGTGACCAGGCCGCAGCGGCTTTCTCGAATGGTGGCACAGCAGCCAATGAAACCAATGACAAAAAGAAGTGTGCCCACAGCAATTATCACCATGGAAGAGATGAAAGTGTAGATATCCTCAAAAAAATGATCATAATCATCATATGTTATAAAAACATAGGCCCCAATGTAGCACAGTATACCTGCGGCAGCCTGGGAAGGGTGCAACAAAAATATTGTTAGTGGTTCAGAAATTGCACATAATATTTTTTTTTATAAAAACCTTTTTTGTGAGATGAAAACTTCTTTCTTTTGTAATTTTTGTTGATTGTCATTTTAATTGTAATATATCAATTTAGAGGCAATATCACAAATAACATGTGTTGTTATAGCTGTCTGAATGAATCAGTTGTCTCTAGGCCTATAATAAAAAATTATTTTTATTAAAATTGTCACAATTACTATTACACATTTATTATATATAATATTTAAGTTGTGTTTTGACAAACATGAACTAATTGTAGTGTTATGCATCACACGCCACCATGTGCTTTTTCCACTTATACCAATTATAATAGGCTTACTATTAATAAGTCCAAATTTTAATTATTAGACTTGATTAAGATAAAACATTTATTGAAACAGGTGATGACTGATATAGCCTAATATCTCTAAGATTTAAGACAAAGAAAAGCTTTACAATTTTCAGAATTGATAAACAAAAACTAAAAATTGAGCATATAAGCTAAATCCCTATACAATGATATTGTAGAAAGACATGATGATACAGTCTTGATATTCCTTGCAATTACAGTCACAGAAAATTGGGGATTTTATTTAGCAGATCTTACATTATGGAATAGCCTGGATAGAGTGAAAATACAAACATAACACACAGGACAAAATAGACAGATCTATTGAAATTCGCCGGGTGAAATTTAGCGTTTGGATCCTTTTACTGATGGTTTAAGTCAAAAAATTATAACAATTTTCTGTCTATTAAAAGCCTGTCGATTATGTAAACAACAGCTCATTCGCTGTAGCTCTTGTAACGTTCTCCATGCAGAGCTATGCCATTACGTTAGTGCCCGCTAACCACTGCATTCCAGCTACTGTAGCCAACTTACCCAAAATATCAGATTTAGGAAGACTAAAACCGTCTTCGAAGAAATAATACCACATTGTCCCATGATCACGGTGAGGCTAGGGTAAATATTTTAATCCAGGGAGAGATGTTTACGTTAATAGCAGATGCATATCGCGATTGTCAAGCTCCGCTAGTCAACACTTTACAGAGCATCCAACTGGACAGCGGCAGTCACGTGTCCCACTGACCTCAATAAAGCGAACTGTGCTATTTGTTCTCTAAGCGGCAGACAGACGCTAATAAAACTCAGTCCAATGTCGTGCTGGTCTAAGAAACTGCGCCAACCCGTGTTCCTCAGGTAATATGTGACTATTAAAACTAAATTTGAAAATGTATGAAAATGTATGAGTCTACAGACACCCCTAAGGAAAGCTATGGGTAGATTTTGCATCTATCTCAACAATTTGTTGTGGTAGTGGGCTAGTTGCAGGTCTGAAAGTGATGTATTTAACACATTTTTTTCAGGTCACTTCTGATTTATACGCTAGACTATGATGTGTAGCAGTTCTTTAAAAACAGAACACAATGAAATATGTTTTAAAAAGCTTAATCTTCTTGTTATAGGCTAAATGTAGCTTGTGTAGTAAATGTAGGCTAGCCTATAGCCTATCTGAGAAGATTGTGGTCAACTGACAGAAACATAGACTCAAAAAGTTGGCTATAGGCTATAATATATCAACCATAAGTATAGTATTTGGTAAGTGGTTTGGTTTCACTCTTTCACTGTTTGTACAAGTATTATATTCAGTTCTCATGGACAACAAATATATTATATTGCAATGTGCTATATATAGGCCTAGCCTACTATTTTGTTATTTTAGCTAACTCGTCTTGTAGTGCTTTGAGATTTTAATGCTTTGTCAATGTAACTGTTAAATCTAGTTGAGATGTGTGAAAATATGGTTAAATAATTAATTTGGATAGGTGTCTTGCTACGATTTGTCTTTTCCACTTGTGATGTTTGTCTGTTGGTAAAATCTAAACACTCAAAACTAGGACTGGCTGATAAAATGATAGGCTAACGAATTGCTGAACACCTGAATTCAGTGAAGAACACAAATGTCTCAGTGATTTAAACAGTTAATCTAAAGCTAAGATGAACAAGCGCTGACATTCTCAACAGCACTGATGAACACATTGCTCCATGAATGATTCAGAAGACTTTTCAATACAATCACTGTCATTGAATAGACCAATGGTAAATTTGAATTAAAAAAAAGCCAATCATTCAGAATATTACCATTTTAACCTAAAAAAATTGATTGTTGCAATTTTTACAGATGTTATATTTTTTCATTAATTAACATAAATTTACATCTGTGCCATCAAAGTCATGACAACACAAACCTGTTTTATGATTTGAAACATATCACCTACATGTGCAGAAACTATAAGAAATTGATTTGTTTCTATTAAGATATTTTGTTTAGGAAAAAAAGACTGATTTTGAAAATTGATTTTACTTAAGTTGAGTCGTGAATATTTTAAAGTAGTTGTCAAAAAGTAGGCTACTTCGGCACTATGTCGATAGCTACTGAAATTTAAAAAATGTGACGCATCGGAATCGTAAACAACTCTGATTGCCCATTGTACTCACGACACGCGCTCATCGAATATGTCTCTGATTGGCTACAATGATCAGCGCTTCAACAACTAGTTAGACACAATTAGCCTAACTGCCTGTTTTTTTTTCTCTCAGGAGCAAAATCTACCTTTAAACTTTAAAGAAATAAAGAGTTGACATTTATCGTGATAATGTTTAGGCAACTGTCTGTTGTGCTTTGGTTGATCACTTTTTCGTTTTTTTTTTCCTAATGTCTCGAATTTCCTTCTGATGTTTTCTGCCCAGTAAACACAATTTTATTGTCTAAAAGATACCTTCTACAATTACAACTCATTAATCAATGAAAGCACCAAGAATAGCCAACTGTTCTCTAAATCTGTCAGTACTCAACTGTTTAACACTGAACTTTCACTGAATATAGAAATTTAGATACAAATTATGACACTTTTACATTGTAGTTGCATGCAGGAGCAACTGACTTTACTAATTTAGTCTTTAATACAAATTATTGAAAAAAAAAATACAATTCTGAACATTCTCTAAAAATAAATATACAAGTAACTTGTTGCATTTCTTGTGACATGGTGGTTAATAGGCTTAGTTAAGAAGCAAATTACAGTTAATGAAAAAGCGATTACAAATTCCATGTGGATTGAACCTTTGAAGATTTCAGGCAATGGAAGTCATCATCATTTTTTATTGTCTTGGATGTAGCTTTCTAATATCTTCATTAATATTGCAGTCTCCTAGAAGAACCAGAAACAGTTCATAAGAATCAATTGTTGATCTGTGGTTAACATGCAGAACTGCGTAAAACTGACCTTTTAAAACAAACAAGCAAATTCATTTAAATCACATTATTCATGAAAAGTATTTACAACAGAAGAATGTTCTCTCTCACATTTCATCAGTCATTTTAAGACCAGAGTGCAGAATAACCACTTCAAAATGACGGAAGATCCAGTCTCGGTTCTTACCGGAACTTTATGGCTGATCTCCGGCAAGTCGAGGTGTGCTTGAAGCGCGATCCTCAGCATCTGCTGGTCGAGGTCCACGGGCTCGACCTGCTGGGGATTCAGAGCAGCCTCGAAGGCTTTCATCGTGGAGTCGTCCTCGGGCGGCAAACGTTCGCTGTCCACGACACTTTTCTTCCCCATAAAATGACCTTAAGTGTCAAATCACAGTTCTGTAGGTATGTCACGTCATATGTAGCACAATAATAAGTCGTGTATGCACCTCA